GGGATGCCAAAAGGCAGAAAAAAAAACCCGTGAAAGCCCAATCGTAAAACAATGTGTTGTGCCTCTTGGGGCCACCTTGGGAGATCTCTTGGAATCTCGTCGGCCCTCTTGGGAGCTTCTTGGGGGCCTCTTGGATCCGATTGGGGGCCTCCTGGGACTTCCCGAGAACCTCTCGGGGTAAAAAGCTCGGATTCTCGGTTCGTGTTTCCCTTCTTGGGCCTCTCTTGGGGCCGTCTTGGGGCCCTCTCGGGCCGTCTTGGGCGCATCAGGCACCGCCTTGGGGCCCTCGTGGGCCGCCCAGGGCCCTCTTGGAAGCCTTTTCGGCTATCTTGGAGCTGTTTGGGAGGCCTCTTCCTCCTCCTCGTCCCCCTCCTCCTCCTCCCACTCCAGCTCTCTCTCCTCCTAATCTTCCTCCTCCTCCTGCAGCGTGTTCCGGAAGGCTCCCGCCGGAACATGCTGTGCACAAGTGCTGTCACTGCTCCCGCCACCGTGCCCTGGGTGGTGGGTCAGAGGCCTCATGGGTGTTGGTTTGGATCTCGTGGTTGGCCTGTCGGGGCCGTCGTGAAGGCAATTTCGCAGCTTCTCGGTAGCCGTTTTGGGACCGTTGTGGGGCCTCCTCGGGGCTGTTGTGTGGCCTCTGTAGGCGTCGTTTGGGCCTCCTGGGTGCCTCTTGGGGGCATCCTGGGCCTCTTGGGGGCTCCTTGGGGCCTCCTGGGGCACTCTTCAAGCGGAAGGGTCGAATTTTGGAGTCGTGGTCCCCCTCTTGGGCGCATCTTGGGGCCGTCTTGGGGCTCTGTTGGGCTGTCTTGGGCGACTCTGGGGCCGTCTTGGGGCCCTCTTGGGCCGTCTTGGGGCGCTCTTGGGGGCCTATTGAGCCATGTTGGAACGTCGGACAGCCGAAAAGGCTGGAAGGCCAAAATCGGTCGAAAACCTTCTTAAAATTTACGATTTCGGCCTCTGGAAGCGCTCTGGAGAGGCGTCTTGAAGCGTCGTGGAGTGCCTTGGGGGGCCTCTCGGGCCGTCTTGGGCCTATCTTGGGCGTCCTGGAGCGGTCTTTCGGCGACTCGGGGCCCGCTTGGGCCGTCTTGGGAGCCTCTGGAGGCCCTCCTGGCCCATGGGGGGTCGGAGGCGGCGGCCTCCGAGGCCCAGGACGCGGAAGCCCTGCAAAAACACAGGGAAAATGAGCCCCGGTCCCGCCATGGGGGGTGGAGGCACCTGTCCTGGGGACCCCGGCCTCGCCCCCAGGGATATATATATATATATATATATATATATATATGTATATATATATATGTGTATATATATACACACAATATCCGCGGGCCCCCTCCGGGGGCGCAAGGCTGCGAAGGTGTGTGCGGTCTGCTGTCATGTGTTATGTGTTCTCACTTGTTGTTTGGCCTCTTGTCTCTCGAGTCCTGTTTCCTGCCTCCTGTTTACCGTCTCCCAAGGGGCCCCACCGCGCCACCAAACAGCCAACGTGGGGGGGAGAACCTCAAATCCTGGCTGCTCCAGGCCCCCCCGGATTCTCATGGTGACGCCACCGCGCGGCCAGAACGGCCCGAGAGGCCTACAAGATTGCCCGAAGAGGCTCCGAAGAGAGCCTCAGGAGCCCAAGACAGCTCAAGAGGGCCCCAAGGTGACCCACGATAGCCCCAAGACAGCCCAAGATGGCTGCCAAGACGGCCCAACAGGTTTCCAAGAGGCCTCCAAAGAGAGCCCCACGAAGCAAAAGTCAACGACTGTCCTAACGTTTTTGAAAGTTTTTGGCCGTCTCGCCTTTTCGGCTTTCCGACGCTCCGCGACGGACCAAGAGGTTCCCAAGATCGCCCCACAGCGGCCCTATAAGCTCCCATGGCGGCCCATGAGGCCCCCAAGACGGCGCCAAGACGGCTGAAGGAGGCCCCAAAACGGTCCAAGAGGCGCCCCAGACGGCCCAAGAAGGCCCCAAGACGGTCCCAAGAGAGGCCCAAGGAGTCCACGAACCGAAAACTCCACCTGTCCGCCCGCGAGAGAGCCCACGGAGGCTCCAACAAAGATCCCAAGAGGTCCCAAGAGGCCCCCACGAGCCCCCCAAGAGGCCCTAAGGAGACCCCCAAGAGATCAAAAGAGGCCCCAAGAGGCCCCAAGAGGCTCCAAAAAGATCCCAAGAGGCCCCAAGAAGATCCCAAGAGGCCCCAAGAGGCCCCCGCGAGGCCCCAAGAGGCCCTAAGGAGACCCCCAAGAGATCCAACGTATGCCCCAAGAGGCCCCAAAACGGCTCCCAAGAGGCTCCATAAATGACCCGCAGACTCAGACGCTGCCGAGAAGCCTGCCACGAGAAGCATCCACGGCGCTATCCACGCAGCCGCACGCATTAGTAATAGGGGGAGCCGGCGGCCGAGGGCGAATTCCTATCATATCTGTGTATATATATATATATATATATATATATACATATGTACCCCTGGAATGCCAGTTCGCCCCCCCCCTCTCACCAGTCGAGCTGCCCCTTTCTCATACACTTCTAGACAGGTATGAATATCTCCATGGTCGTCGACTGGTCAATGAGCTTTCCAGTGATGGTCACCAGCGCGGGAGCAGGCGGATCGTACATGTATCTGCGAGGAGAAGAAACAGATATTCGGAGGACGCGGCTTGTCGATGGGATTGGCCTCTCTGGTGAAACGAAGGAGAGTTGCGAGGAGGACCAGGACAGCGGGGAGGAATGAAAGGAGGTGGCTCTGCTCATGGTTTGGAAGAGCACGATCCAGATAACCGTTGCCGCCTCGACACCAACTCATCAGTCTCTAGAATGCAATGCGTAGGAATGGTCAGGAAAACTAAGCAGGAACTTGGTTGCCTCATTCGCTGTGCGGTCTCTCCTCCTAGGTCACCTATGCATCAATTGCTCTCTCTCTCTCTCTCCTCTCATTCATCCCCATGGCATCCACAGTCGCGAACGACCGCGACCAGCTTCTGTCATGGGGGACATTGAATCAGTATGCCTTAATGTTCTATATCAACATGAAAAGGGGAATGGACTGGAAGGGAACAGGAAGCCCCAGTCTCTAGCCTAGCTGTCTCCCTCATATTCTTGTATACTGGTCTGAATCTCTCGACGGCTTTGCAAGATGTTTGGCCCTGGAAAATGTCCGGGAAAGTCGGGGGATGGGGTCTGGGAAGGTCCCGGGGGGAAGTCTGGGAAGGAGTCGTTGAGAAAAGTTTGTTCTCAGGGGCCTTTTTGGAGCGCCTCTTGGGAGCGTCCGCGGCCGTCTTGGGGGCCGCCTTGGGCCGGCTTGGGGGTCTGTTCGGGCGTCTTAGAGCCGTCCTGGGACGTGTCGGGGTCGTCTTCTTTTTGCTTCCGATGGGCGTTGGCGGCCTCAAGATAGCTCCAAGAGGGCCCCAGTAGGGCCTGCACGGGCGCAGAATGGCCCCGAGACGGCTCCAAGAGGGCCCCAAGAGGGCCCCGAGGTTGCTCCAAGATTGCCCAAAATGGCAACTTTCTGGAGGCCCTCAGGGGCGAGGGGCCAGCCTGAGACCGTCCAGAAGTCACAGAGACGATTGGTGTGACGCGCCGCCTGGGGGACGCGCCGCCTGGGGGAGGGAACAGGCGGGACAGTTTGGTCGTCAGTGGGAAGGGCTTCCGCGCTCCAGTAGGGGAAGCCCACGCCGTAACACTGCCCCCTTTGTCTATTGTTTGCCTTTCTTGGCGCAGAGACCACTCGACGGATTTACGCTTGCGTGTCGAAGGCGAGGCCCTCTCTGGACCGCCGCGAGTGCGCGGTGCCTCTGCGCAGGGGAAGGGCTCCTGCAGCGCCCCTGGGAGGCCGGGGGGGGGGGGGGGGAAAGCCCTGGGCCTCCGCGCGCCCCGGCGGCACCTGGCGGGCAGCGCCGCGCTCGAGTCTGGAGGCTCCGCGCCAGCTCCGCCGCGCGCCAGGGCCACCGAGGGGCTCCATGAAGGACTCGGGGAGGCTGCCGGGAGGCTGCCGCACAGCCCCAGACAAAGGTCTCCCAAAAGAGCGACGAGAAGAGACGGGTCCTGCGCGAGATGGTGTAGCGGCCTTACATGGTGGCTTACGCGGGCCGCCAGCGCGGCACGACAAATTGGAGTCGAGCGCGCTTACGCGCGGCTTCACGCGGGCAGCTTACGCGCGAACGTCGGCGCAGTCGACCCCAATTGGGGTCCGAGTAAACGGGGTCGGTGGATCGCGCCGCATCGCCGATGCATCGGCGACGTCGACGTGGAGAAAATCGGGCTCCACATCGAAGCGCATCGGCGATGCGGCGGGAACCTGCGACCTCATCCACTCGGACCCCATCCAGGAAGCCTAGACGCACAACCCCAGATCTCCGACGATCTTCCATCCGGGTGCTTTCTTCTTTGACTGCGGCATCTAAGGCCCGCTTTCGGGCCCAGGGCACTTAACAATGAGGCCGGGGCAGCAAGCCACCGGCCGGGACCCTTCCAACGCACTGAAAAAATAGTTCGTCGGATGTCTAGGCCTCTGTGTAAGTCTCTGGGGGGCCCCCAATGAGGTCTGTGAAAGCCCGAGGGACTCCGTTCCAAGCAGTGCCGCGGGCTCGTCGGGAGGTACGCAGGCGTCCTGGTAGTGCTTTGCGACCTCGCAACGCGAGAAGGATTCAACGTTACAGTGCTGCACAACATTACAACGCCAAGATGCTGCAGCGTCGCGTTGCTACAATAGTTAGTCAGCGCGCTACTGCCAGAAAGGCCAACGCCACTGCGATGCGACACTGCTACGGCGCCACCGTGCTGAAATGCTACAATGCGTCAAGAAGTTTGTCTCTCGCGCTACTGTTTGCCTGCAGCTTTAGGGACCCTGCAGCGCCGCAAAGCTTGAGAGCGACAACGCTGGGTGATATTCGAGCTGTCCTGCGCTGCAAGCTTTGAGTACCAGCTGTCCGTATGGGGGCTCTCATACAGAACCGACAGCGTGGGGGCTGCGTCCATACGCGGGGAGCAGGCGGTACCGCGCCGTGAGGCATCCTGTGTAAGCAGCTGAACGAAACGACAAGAACGGACTCGCTTATTTCCTCGTGCTGGCTCCACGCGCAGGTCACGTGGCGCCCTCATGTACGAGGACTAGACCAAGGATCCTCGCGGCCGCTTTGGGGACGGAGGGGGCCCATCGCAGCAGTGTGAGAGACACAATTTCGCCGTGTTCGGCGAAGCGAAGGCGGCGGGCGTTTGGCCGAAAAGCCGCGCGCGGTTCAGGCTCAAGGCCTCCCCGCGATCTCGTCCATCACCGTGCGGTTCTCACCCCGGCGGCGGACGTGCTCTGGGCCGAAATCCTGCACGTACATCTCGCCGTCCCACGCGTACTCCGCGCACAAGTAGGCGTCGTGGTTGTCCTTGTCCACCACGCGGCTGTGCGGCTCGGCGGTGACCCAGCGCTTCTCCCCGGAGTCCTCGTCGATGACGAACACCTCGATGCATGGCTTCTTGAAGTTTAGCGACCACTCTGGCCACCTTGGAGGCAGGAAAACACTGCGCAAACAGAAAACGTCGGGCACTCCGCGCGGACTTCTTTTCGATCGGCGCTGGGCCCCCGTCGCGCTCCACGCGCGCCAGGAAGGGGGGCCAGTGCCGAGCCAATAAGGCCTCCCGGAGCTCCGAAAGTGTATGTCTGTGCGCTTTTCATTACCCGCGCTCTTCCTCCGGAACCGCTCTTGCACGGCCCCGAGGCCCGGTGGGGCCCCCCCGATGCCGAGAATGCCGAAAAGTCTCCCGTCGCGAGGCCGGGTCCCGCTGGCACCCGTCTTCTCCCTGGGGGCGGCGCGGCTGGCGGGGGGGTCGCTCGCGCGGCGATCGGCCTCTGCCGTCGTCGCCTCGGCGCAAGGCCCGAGTTCGAGCCGCAGTGTCAGCGGGCGGCGCGCACCGGGCGAGGAGGGAGAGGCGAGGACCAGGGAAAGAGATACTGGCCATCGCTCGGACGTCCATTCCCTGTTTTTTTCGGTTTCGTGCGTGGTTTTTTCGCCAAATGATCAAGGATGCTCCTCGATGGTCCTCGCCGAAGGAAAAATGCACACGTCCGAGCGATGCCAAGGATAGGCATATGATTCTCGACTTTCCCATGGCTCGAGGGCGTCTGGGATTGTAGCCGCCGGTGTTTAGAGGCCTCCTAGATGGGATCGGAGTAGATGGGGTCGGAGGACCGCGCCGCACCGCCGATACATCGGCGATGCATCGGCGATGCATCGGTGATGCACCGGCGATGCATCGGCGACGTCGGCAACGCACCGGCGCTATCGGCGTGGAGAAAATCGGGCTCCGCCGCATCGAGCCGCATCGGCGATGCATCGGCGATGCGGCGCGATCCTCCGACCCCATCTGCTCGGACCCCATCTAGAAGGCCTAGATTTCGATCTTCCCATGGCTCGAGGAGGTCGGGGACGTACTGATCTGGGTCAATGCAAACTCGGGTCAGCGAGGCCATTCAGGATCCTGCTGGATCCTGAACGAACCTGCATCGAAACCCGGGCCAGTGTGCCCCTGGCCCTGCAGGATCTGGCGCTCTGCCTGACCCCCGTTTGCCCTGACCCACACCTCTTGAGCCCCGAGGGGGTCTGGGAGTGCAGTCGCCGGTGTCATCCTTCGGTCGAGCCTGTCCCCCGAAAGGGGGATCTTGGGCGAAAAATGAAAAATACTCCAACAATGCCCTCGAATGGTCAAAAAGAAACCAAAAATCGTCCCCAGACTATTTTTGTTGACTCTTTTGGAACACCCCCCCTGTCGAGGGACAGGTCCGACCTACTCTTATCCCTCGACACCTCCAGGACCCCGGGGGAGCGACGCCGCGCGGGTCCTCCTCGAACGGCTGCGTGCGGAACGGGTCGTGCAGCGTCTCCCGCGTGTCCGCCGGCCGGGGCCTCTCCGGCAGCGAGGCGCCTCCGCCCGCCTTGGGAGGGGGGGGGGGGTCGGGCGGCGAGGGGGGGGAACGTGAGAAGGAGAATGCCTTCTCAGAGGGGGCCCAGGGACACACAAATAAACAGACACAGATAACAGGATTCCCCATACGTTCCTCTATTTTCTGGGTTGTTTTTTGTCTCCCCACCCCACACTTCCCAAATTCTCCTATATTTCTGGGAATCGACGATTGATTGTGTATGTGTGTTTTTCTCCCTCCTGGGAGAAGTCCTTCTCAGAAGGCGGCAGGGCTTCTCAAAAGTCCTCGCGCCTTCTGAGAAGTTGTGTGTGTCTTCGGGGGAGGCTTGGAACACCTCTCCGAAGGCCATGGGGACTTCCGAGCCTTCTCAGAAGGCCTTCTCCTGTTCACTTCCTCCCCTCGCTCGCCGCCAATCCTTGGGGGGGTCGGGCGGCTTGGTCCGCATGGAGCAGCACCTGAGCATCGCTTAATCGATCCCTACCCCCACTGGCGTGACCTTGGCACCACCGGCCGATCTACCCCACCTGGCTGGGGATATGGACTGTTCCCTCCATGTTCGAAGGGGCCTCTCCCCAACTGGGGGGGTGGGATGGTGGGGTTGAGACACCATGGCCCTGTGGGTACGGAGATGGGTTAATCGATACTGGGCACGATCGATGATCCTCAGAACGTGTGCTAGCGCCAACGTGTGCTTACCCACCGAAGCCCTTCAATACGACGCAGGAAGCGCGGCGAGGGCCGATGCAGGCTGCGCGATGCCGGCGGAACCGAAGCGGGCAAACTCACACACTTGGGCTAACACACATCCTGAGGATCTTGGGCGTGGCTCAGTGGGGGGGTCATAAATGGGGGGGTCAGAAACGGTCCCCTTTCGTGCCCCTTTCGGGCCCCTCTGGAGCCCCAGGGGGCTCGTTTAGGTACCGTTTGGGTACCTGTTCGGACCACCCGCGACACCCCCCCATTTATGACCCCTCCATTACGCAACGCCCAAGGATCATCGAGTGGAGCAGCACCGGTTGTCCGAGAACATGTAGCTTATCAGGCCACCCACCAGCCCCAGGGTGGTGGACGACTCCTCCTCTGCGGGCTCGTCCGCGGGCCCCGGCGACGACGAGGTGGCTCCACCGGCGGCGGACGCGGGAGACCACGGGTCCTCCCGCCTCGGCTGGTGACGGAAGGCCACGTCGCCGCCGTAGGGGCCAGAGAAGTTGTCTTGGTCCCGGTATGCCATGGCCGGGAGCCGTGCCCAGGTGTCGGCTGCACGCAGGAGTGACCCTGGGCAAGAGTGACCTCTGGTGGTTTCACCGCAAGAAGAGGTATTAGGAGGCCCGAGGACAATCGGGATAAGGGGGTCTTTTCTTCAGATGTACCAAACCAAAACACACCGAATTATCATCCCTCATACACAGACGGGTACCTAAGTGAAGCCACGTCTTCACTACGTTATTAGGGTTAGGGGTCCTTTTATCCTCGATGATTTTGTGCGCAGCTAGAGCGGGTCGCGGGGAAGGCCAAGTCAACGCAATTCGGGCGCGCCGGCCAGTGCTGGCGGGGTGCCAGTGGGCCCGCACCAGAGGTCACTCCAGCGAAGGGTCACTCTTACGCGTAGCCGAAGGGGGGGGGCACAGGTGTGGACGATGCAGCGCACAGGCTTGAGCCGCTGCCTCGGAAAAGCGGCCCCCTCCTTGCCAGGATTCCCCTTCTCTCACAGTCGGGCCGTTGAAATCAGGAACGTTAAATAAGTAACGAAGCCAACTTGGGGCACCAGAGGAGCCTGGGTGCACGACGAGTGCTAGAGAAGCCGTGACGGAATGACCTAGGGAACAGCGAGCCCCGTCCGAACCCAAAGCGGCCCTTATTTCAGCGTCTTGACTGTACACCTGGCGTGCGGACACTCAGAAGCGAACCCTCGACGAGCTCGCTCGGCCGGCGCGCTGGGGAAACCCTGGAGGGTCTAGCGCGGCAGATCGGGGGTGCGAAGTTCAGGCCGAATTCGGACCGAAAGCCGACCCAGTCCAAAATATCTGGAAGCGAGGCGGGAATGTATCCATATGCGCCGCCTAGGGGACCGAGGTCAGGAACCCCAGTGGGCGGTGGGTGCAAATATATGCAGGACCCAGGCGGCCCGAATATGTCCACATCCACCGCCTGCCGAGGTGCCCGAAGACCAATCCCCCAGCAGACAGTTGTGGACAAATCCCGCCTCGAACTGGAAGCCACGCCCTCCTTCGGTGCACTCACCTTCCGCTCCATTGCTCTTGCTGACGCGCGATTGCCACATCCTGGAAATCCCACTAGCCCTCTCGGTGTAGGTGGTTTAGGAAGCTGGCTCTTCCAACCCACGCCGGAAAACAAAGGCCCCGCCCAGCGAAGTCTCCTGGGGACCTCTCGGGGTCCACTCGGGGGCCTCTCGGGGGCCTCTTGGGGGCTTCCCGCGGCCTTCTTGGGCGGCGCGGTTACGCAGATCAGCGCAAGTCACGCGGTGCCTCGAAGACGCAGGTCAGCGCAGGTCAGCGCGCGTTCCTCGGACCCGTTCCGATCTGCGCTGACCTGCGCTGACCTGCGCTGTGGGGCGCTCACGAGCTCACAAGGCTTGTAGAATCGCATTTCTTGGAATTGTGAACCCCCCTCCGCGGCCTCGTGAAAATTCTCGGGATCGAGGAACAGCGCCCAACGGCTTGTGGAACGCGCTTCTGCACGACATTGCGGAACTCCCGCTCAAAGCTGTGGGATTCTCTCTCTCACAGGGCCTCGCGGAATCCTCTGGGGCTTGTGGAACAGCGCCCCGTGTTCTGCGGAACAGCCGCTTTCGTAGTCTTGCGGAACCATCTGCGTCTGATGGGACTGGCGCTCTGGAGCCCAAGGCCTTATAGAACGAGCCTGTGGCCTTTGAGGTACGGGCCCAGGCCCTTTGTGAAAGGGGCCCAGGGCCTGTGAAACGGGCTTCTTCATAGAAAGCGCCCAAGGCCTTTGTGACACGGGCTCAGAGTCTTTGTGGATTGGTCGCAAGGACGTTTGCGGGACGGGCTCTCCTTCGGGGACGGCGCTCGCTGCCTCTGTGGACCGGGCTCAATGTCTTTGCGGAGTGGTCCCAGGCTCAGAGCCTTTGTGGAACGAGCCCGGGGCCCGTGGAACGGACCCAGGGCCTCTGTGGGCAGGGTCGACGGCCTTTGTGCAACGGGCCTCCCTTTGTGCAGCGGGCGTACAAAATTCCTGAAACGGGCTCGGAGCCTTTGTGGAGCGGGCCTCGCTTCTCTTTGTGGAATGGGCCCTCTGGGGCACCCAAAGGCTCCCCAGGGTCCTCCAGATGGCCCCAAGCGAATCCCAAGAAGGCTTCAAAATGAGATTACGGCCGATCCCAACCACATCGGGCCGTTCACGACCCACGTCGGACTGTTTGCAGCCACTGGAATGGGACTGATCGCAGCGTGAAGGGTTTCTATAGTGATCCTATAGAGCGAATGATGGATTACAACCAGGGAAGCTCGCTTCAGCTTCCCAGCGCTTGCAGGATTCCTGAAGGAATATTGAGGAATCCTGCAGGATTCCTGAGACTCTTGAGGATTCCTCAAAAGATTCTCGGGGATTCCCGAATGACTCTTGGGGACTCATCAGGAGTTCCTGAGAATTCCGTAGGGATTCCTGAGGTATTCCTGAGGATTGCTGAAGGATTATTGCAAATGTCTTCAACACTCGTGAGGAGTTCTGAGGGACTCCTGAAAATTCCACAGGGATTCCCAACGGATTCCTCGCACAGAATTCTAGAAATCCCTCTTGAAGATCCCTGAGGGGCGCACCCGGAATCCTGAGGGAAACCGAGTATCTGCAGACACACACACACACATGTGACCACAAACATTTTACATATTCGGCATACGTGCAACTCACATGCATACACACATATAACATGTATTACATGCATGTCGGCGTATGTGTATGTATGCATGTATGTATGTGATAGTGTATGTATGCATGCATGTACGCATGCATGTACCCATATGTCTAAACATACGCGTGTGTATATACACATATACATACGCGGGTCTGTTATGTATTCCCCGGATGCTTAAGGGCCTTACGTCTGCACTAAAGAGCTGGGCAACCTTTACATTGTGCCACATACACTGCAACAACAAATTCACCGCGTATATTCCGCGGCGCACATTGCACTAAAGGGATTGCAGCGACAAACTATATTGCGCGCCAGTGCGATTCCACAACATGTATTACACTGCGCTAATAGAGTGCTCAGCATAGCCTGCACCACATAGGTTGGATCACTTTGTAAAACACCGCGTGTCTAATCTGACGTAGATTGCCGCACTTGAACTGCACCACGTCGCTTGCACCGCGTGTGAGACGCACTGCGTAAATTGCACCACGTGGCCTGCGGCACAAAGCACCACACACTCTTCGCCGCAGATACAGCACAACGTGAAAATCCTAACATAAATGGCACAACAGAGATGTAGTGCACCGTCGGTGATCGGTCCGGCCGCAACAGCTTGCATTTTTTTGGTTTTCTAAATTCTCCTGGAGGGTATGAGGGGGTTCGCTGCATCCAGAAGCGCTCTTGAAAGCGTTCCCTTATTCAAAACAAGATTACAACTTCAAATCCTACCAGCCCGATCACAACGGGATGCGATCGGTCCGAATTGGTCGACGGTCGGCCCGAAGTGGCGCGATCCACCCCGACGGCTCGATCCCCTTCAAGATGGCTCCAAGAGGCCTGTACAGAGCTCAAAAGGGCCTCCAAGGTGGCATGTAATATGCCGAGATGGCTTCAGTTTAGTGAGGAAGTGATCCACCAAACGCATATTCAGCCTGCTCGCCTTTCTCCTCCCTTCCTCTTTCTCTCTCCTCCTCCTCTTCCTTTTCCACCTGCTCGTCCTTCTCTTCAACCCTTCCTCATTCGACAAGTCCGCGAAAACATATGCGCTTAACTCCTGGGTCTGCTCAGGCGGATCCCAATTTACGTTCCACATCGTCCCCAGCTCGTTGTTCCAGTGCATCTTTACTTCCATGATCAAGGCAACTCGCCTGGGCATTGTTTTGCGGATGGGCTGACCTGTGCGTGCAATTTCCTGGGTACCACTTCCAACCGCAATGATCTGGGGGGCCTTCTGGAATCTTTTGGGGGCCCCTCGGGTGGCCTCCGGGGAGGGTTCTGGGAGGCTCTTGGGGGCCTCTTGAAGGTCTCCGATGGCCTCTTGGGGCCTGGGTCCTCGTAGCGGCCTCTGGGTCGTCCTGGATCCCTCCTGGGCCCTTCTGGAGTCTTTGCTGGGCCATCACGCCCCCCCCCGGCGACGGCGTCGCTGGGGCGGGGCTCCGCGGCAGCCAGCCCCGCGCCACTTGGACGGGGCAGAGGCGCGGCAGCCGGCGGTCGCTTGCGTGCTGTCCTCCGAGCGGGGTCTGCGGCGCTGGGCTCACTCGCGACCCCGCCCCCCGCGCTCGCGCCCGCTGCTGCCGCGGCCGCCGGCGCCGCCGCGCCAGCGGTGGCGGCCGCGACCCCTGGCCTTCCAGCGGCAGAGGGCTCGCCGCCCACGGTTGGGTCGCGCGGCGCGCAGGGCCCCATGCCTACGTCCCCCGGCGCCTCCAATGGCCAGGCGTCGCGCGGGCCCGAGTAAACGATGCGCCCATCCGTCTCCGCGGCGCGCCCAGCTGCGCCCCAGGCTCTGCCGACGCGCCCATCTGACAGGAGGGCGCTGTCGTCATCGGGCCGCCCGAGGCCCGGCGCCCCCCCTGGCCCGCGCGCCTGCCAATGCGTTGCCGTGCAGCCCGAGCACGGCGAGCTCGCCGCGCCTGACAGCTGCCTCCGAGCGGCGGGCGGGGACGCGCCCGACTGTCACTCCTTTTGCTTCGCCGGCCACCCGAGCCCAAAGGCGCGCGTTGACTGCCGATGGCCCCTGGGCTCGCTCGGGGCGCCGCGCGGGCCCGACGGCGCCCGCGCAGTCGATGGGCAGGTTGCACTTGCCGATTGCCGATGATCTCCGCGAAGGGCCGCCGCCGCCGCGGAGCGCGCCCCCGCGCGCGCAGTCTGGCGGGGCAGGGGCTCGGGGGGGGGGGGGGGGCAGCGCCCCGAGATTTCGCGACGAGCGCGCCCGTCGGCGCGGGCGCGATCGCCGCCCACCCGGCGCGCCGCATCTGAAGGAAGTCAGAGTGGATGCGCGAGCCGTCGGCGAAGACGCGGGCGCCCTCAGGCGCCGCGAGAAGCCCGCCCCAGCCTCGAGCTCAGCGCCCCCCTCTGGGGCGTCGCTGTGGCCACTGCAGCGAGGGCGCCGCGTCCACGATGAGCCCAGTCCCG